GCCATCCCTCCCCCAACTGCCCACCCCTCAAAATGCATGTGCGGCGAGCCGGGACTCCAGACACCTTTCTCCAGGGCCCCACGGGCCTGTCGAGGGCTGGGAAGCAGATGGCATGCACTGAGGCCAGGCGAAGAGGCCTGCGGGCTTCCTCGTGGAAGGTAGGAAGATGAGGACAAAAACCGTCGTGGAGCACGGTGCTTCCAGCCACACTACGTGGCCTCACCAGCCTGGGGCCGCCAGTCGGTGCCAGACAGATGAGACGCTTTCTACTCAACCTTTCCTGGAACCGAGGCTTGGGGGTAAAGCTGCCCCCGGATGCGGTCCCAGGTCCCTGGCTCCCAGCTCAACCGGCATCAAGCACTGAACACCAAGCCCACACCCCCCGTTTAGAGCCCATAGAGCACCCCCATGGGAGCTGAGAAAGGGTTCGAGACAGAGGCTGAGCTGCTCAAGAAGCATTTTCTTTCGCTCGTCTGCGGATGCCAGCAGCACCCAGAACAGAGCGGGGCGTCCCTTGGGAGGCCAAGCACACACCCAGGCTGACGCTTCCCCCTTCCAGCTGGCTGAAGTCAGAAGCAGGCGGGTCTGTCCGTTTGGGTGGTCCCAGGATGCTGACCACCCCGCGGGAGCCACTGGCAGGAGGGCGGGACCCAAGCTGCCTGGCGCTGACCCCTGGCGATGACCGCCGGGAGGCCCAGCCCAGCTCACCCTCTGCCCACAAAACGTCCAGAAGCCTGACCCCCTGGTGACAGAGCTCTGGATAGATTAATTCTGGGGGTCAGTGCCCCGCAGCAGTGAGACAACACTTTGTTATGAACAGGAACCTCTTTTCTGAATGGAACGCACAAATGCACCAAGTCCTAACATCCCAAGAGCGCATTTCATCAGCTCTGGCAGCAGCCAGCGTCCTGCGTATTGAACACCCGCGTTCTGTTTACTGGGCCAAAGAGTTATCTGACATGTCTGTCCGCACAGATTGGCTGCCTGGGTTAAAAATGCCAAAGCAGCAAATCAGCATTCGCTCCCGACGAGGGGGCCTGGGGCGACACCCAGACGCAGTGTAAGACAGGACACGTGACTTGGACTTAGCAAGCGTGAGTGGGGGTCGTGAGGACAGCACCTTACCCCCAGTAGCTCTTTCCAGGGAACCAGAGGGCGGCTGCTGACTGCAGACGTGTCTGTCTGCGCACATGGAGGGAAACAGCGACCCCAAGTGTCAAGGTCTGGTAATGACAAGAACCTCTGAGCCCTGTTCAACCCTGGCGGGTGGAACACAGACCCGACCCCAAACCTAACCCAAGCCCGAAGCCTCACTGTAACGCAAACTCAAACCCTAACCTTAAACCTGAATTCACCCACACGCCAAACATTCTCAACGCCTAACCCTCAGCCCAATGAGGCCTCAACACCTCCCTCAACCTGGCCATGCAACCTTTCCCTCCCAGGAGCCTTAGGACGGTGGTCAGGACCCCTGCAGGGCCAGGCCCGACCAGTGTAAGAGACAGGGACAGGCGGGAGCCCACGCGGGCCCAGGCCCGACACGCCCAGGAGCCCCCGTGAAACGGTTCTGCTCCCTCACTTTCCCTCTGCGGCCTGGCCCAGGCCTGGTTTAACAGTTGGCTGCCCGCCGCTGCCTTTCTCTGCTTCTCGGCATATTTTCACCGCTGGCTGAAGTAAAGCAAACTAAATAAGCAAATAAATGAGAGCG